AGAATATTCATTTTGTCGCCCTTGGTAAAGTGCAGTGGTGTCAGAGCTCACAGCAACCTCAAACTCTTGGACTCAAGCAATCCTCTTGTCTCAGATTTTCTTTCTTTCTTTTTTTTTTTTAAGTGGAGATGGGATCTCACTCTTGCTCAGGCTGATCTTGAACTAATGAGCTCAAGCGATCCACCCAACTTGACCTCCCAGGATATTTGTTTTCTTTAAAACATGGGGAGGTTGGGTTAGCGCCTATGGCTCAAAGAAGTAGGGCACCGGCCCCATATTGCCGGAGGTGGTGAGTTCAAAGCCAGCTCCCGCCAAAACCTGCAAAAAAAAAAAAAAACATGGGGAGGTTGCCCTCCCCTTCTCCCTTCAGGAAGCATACCCCCTGTTTAGGCTACAGGAAAATAGAAATAGTATTTTAATAAAATAAAAAGAGACTTCAGTTTATGAAAGAAAATGTTGGCTTTCCAGAGTTTTCAGAATATAAATAGATATTTTTAAATGTGTAGATAGATTATAATGACTCAAAATATGCCTTTTTCGTAGGAAGATTTTTAGTCCACTATATATGTGTGTAATTTTTGTATTAATAAAAGAGTTACAAATAACAAAAAGTAAAAATATTCCATTTCTGATTAAAATACATGTTGCACTTAATTTTAGGAAGAAACTCTAATAGTAAATAACTAAAATTATGTTTAGTTGAACACTGATTCAACAGCATTTTATATAATTTAATGCCTTTGCTTACTGTTTTAAGGCAGTCAGAAAAAGTATGATATGTGAGAATATATTTAAGTATAGGGGGCGATTTTCCATTGCTTTTTTTTGAGAGATGGGGTCTTTCCTGGTTGTCCAGGAGTCCAGAGTCCGGTGGTATGATCATAGCTCACTGTAACCTCAAATGTCTCAGCTCAAGAGATCTTCTTCCCTCAACCTCTCCAGTAGCAGGACTAAAGCAGTGAGCCACCATGCCTGCCCACCTACAGATAATTTTAAAATATTTTTATAGCGACAGGGTCCTGCTGTGTTGGTCAGGTTGGTCTCCAGCTCCTGGCCTCAAGTGATCCTTCTACCTTGGCCTCCTAAAGTGCTGGGATTACAGGTGTGAACCACCATGCCTGGCCTCCCTTGCCTCTTAAAAAATATACAAAAATAGGCTTGTATGTCTTTGTGAATGTGTGTTTATATGTTGCAGTTATTCATTGCCATGTCTAAACTTTATTCAATTTAGTTAAATAAAAGACTAATTGAGATATATGTGTATTTGATTACAGGTGTCCCATTTCCCAAAAACTTTATGTCTGTGGCAAAGACCATTCTAAAGCGTCTGTTCAGGGTTTATGCCCACATTTATCATCAGCACTTTGATTCTGTGATGCAGCTGCAAGAGGAGGCTCACCTCAACACCTCCTTTAAGCACTTTATTTTCTTTGTTCAGGTAAGTTGAACCACATTGATGTCTTTGTCCTTTGACAGACTTATTTGAATTGGTAACTTTAATAAAGAGCGGGATGTAGAGGTAAGTATAAGCAAGACTTTTTTCTAATGTTTTGTTTTTTCTACATTGTTAAACTTCATTCATGTGTGCAGCACCATAAAAGGCATTACCCTCCCCACTTTAGGCCTTCTTCCTCTGGGTTCCCAGGTCTCTAGTTAGGGTGTATCACTCAGGGACATGGCCTGTTACCTTATGGGCCTTTAGTTAAAATTGCAACGTTCTTTTTTTTTTTGAGACAGGGTGTATAAAAGGTCCACTACCCCTGAGGTGGCCACCATTAAAGGTTTAGTTTGTAGTTTTCAAGTAATTTCTATGTAAATTCCAATATAAATACAGTTTTCTTTTGTTTTTTAAGAGATAGGGTCTCTGCTGCGTTGCCCAGGCTAGAGTCCAGTGGTGTGTCTGCATGTCTCACTGCAACCTACAACTCCAGGGCTTAAGCAGTCCTCCTACCTTACTGTTCCGAGTAGCTGGAACTACAGGTGCGCCCGTATACCAGGCTAATCTTTGTGGTTTTTATAAAGATGTCATCTCACTCTTGCTCGTGCTGGTCTTGAACTCCCAGAATGTTAGGATTACAGGTGTTAGCTACTGTGCTTGGCCCATATATACAGTTTTGATTTTAATGTTTAACACAGTAAGGATCATACTGATACCTAGAGTTGGTTATGTAATAAGTCTCCTATTGTAAGGATATAAGAAAAAAATACTCAGTATCTCCTGCCATACCCTCACAATACAGAATGCTTCTGTGACCTTATGTGTGGTGATGTTCAAGCAGTCAGTTCTACAGTGGACACCATATGTTTGTCCTCTAACTCAATTCAGTTCTGATTTTGTTTACCTGTAGGGTCAGGTCCTACAAGTTGAGAGCTCTGTCCCACTAGACTATCCCCCACTTCAGAAACCAGTGAAAATAGGTTGTTACTTAGACTTGTGACCAATCAGCTATAAGTTAGGGTTCCCATGATTCCCTCTTTAGGTGCAGTTAATTTGTTAGAGCGGCTCAGAGAATTAGGGGATACATTTATTTACATTTCCCAGTATATTATGAAGGATATTACAAAGATACAGATGAACAGCCAGGTGGAAGAAATTCATAGGGCTAGATAGGACAGAAGGGATGCAGAGCTTTAGGCCTTTTTCAGGCTCACCACCCTCTAGGAACTCCTTGTGTTTAGCTATCTGGAAGGTCTGTGAACCCTGTTCTTTTGGGTTCTTATGGAAGTTTCATTATTTGGCCATGATTGATTATATCATTGGCCATTGGTGATCAACTCAGTATTATATAATTGGCGATTGGTGATCAACTCAGTCTTTAGCCTCTGTCTTTCCCCAGAGGTGGAGGTGTGGGGCTGAATGTCCCAACCCTCTCTAAGCAAGCTTTGGTCTTTCCAGTGACCAGCCCCCATCCAGAATCTAAGGTCCCCCAGATACCAGTCATCTCATTAGCATACCAAAGACATTCTGGAGATTCCCAGGGTTTTAAGAACTATATGTCAGGACAAAGGGGCAACCAAATATATATGTCACAATGTCACATTTATATTCCTAAAAAGAGAGTAAACAATCCTATTTTTAAAAGTTTACAGAAATTATTTCATCATTCTTTGGGGTTTCAGAAAATGAGACTGGGGGCTCAGCACCTGTAGCTCAGCAGCTAGGGCCCCAGCCACATACACTGGAGCTGGTCTGTTCAAATCCAGCCCAGGGCTGCCAAACAACAACAATAACTACAACAACAATAACAACAACAAAATAGCCAGGCGATGTGGCAGGCACTTGTAGTCCAAGCTCCTTGGGAGCTGAGGCAAGAGACTCACTTAAGCCCAAGAGTATGAGGTTGCTGTGAGCTATGACACCACAGCTCTACCCAGGGCGACATAGACTCTGTCTCAAAAAAAAAAAAAGAAAGAAAGAAAGAAAATAAGATTGGGAATCTCATCTCTAAAAGACATTTAATGAGTTTTAATTTTTTTAATTCATTTTTAAATTTTATTTTTCTTCTCTTTTTAGGAGTTTAATCTGATTGATAGGCGTGAATTGGCACCTCTTCAGGAATTAATTGAGAAACTTGGATCGAAAGACAGATAAATGTTTCTTCTAGAACACAGTTATCCTCTTGCTTCATCTCTTGCTAGAGCTATTTCATTGCTATCTGTTATAGACTAGTGATACAAACTTCACAAAACAAGATAAAAACATACATTGTCTACTGATAAAATTGTCCCAAAGGTAGGTTGGACTAATAGCTTCAATGTGAGACCTTTAAAGCACAGCCAAATTTGATGTGTACTATGTAATCACTCCTGTTATTGTCACAGAGACATATTTGGTTGTAATATAGGATGACTAGTCTGTAGTTTGTTTACTTATGATTCTTTTCCTCAAGAAAATGATAGAGTCTTTTTCAGGTGATGGCATAGTGGACTTTAAGAATTTCCACCAATAATTTATAAGTAAGTTTCCAGGACACATTTCCTAATAACACAATCAGATTGATTTTATTATTTTACAAATAGAAAAGATGTTTTCAAATTAACCTTAAGATTTAGAATGTATCACTTGGAATATACATTTTAGTTTGAAGTTTGTATGCTAGTGTTTTTATGGATAATATATACATATATTTTTTCAAAATCCATGATTGTAGTTTAAATCATTATATGGCACATGTGGAATGGGAATAACCAGAGTTATTTTCAAAGTGACTTATTTTTTAATCTTTATTTGGAATTTTATTCATACCTATCTAAATTATTAGGACTGTGTGTGTCTATCAGAAGTAATTTTTTTATGGCTTGTAAGGATGGTCTTACAGGTTTTTATTTTGAAAGGCTTTATTCAAATTAATTTAATATGTAGCTTTTGGCTGAGAAAAAGAAAACTTCCCCCCAAATATGACAAACTTAAGCCTCAAAGCCATTATTTTCCTTCATATTTTTTTTTTCCAATGCCTTGAAATTCTGGATAAGAGAATGGAACAAAGTACTTAGAGTACTTGATTATTTTGTTTGCTTTTATTACAAAATTACTCCTACATTTTTATTGTGACTTGAGCCTTAGCTAATAGTGGAGAAATGCATGAACTATCCCAACAAGGATAAGACTTAAGGAGAACCACAAATAAGGAACCTTGAAGGTGTACACATTTTGTAACACAGCTAACAGTTTAGTGTGCTGCATATTCTTAGAGAGTGTGTGTGTGTTTATAGGAGACAAAATGGGAGGAATAAATTAAAAAAAAACCTTCCTTCATTTTGTTAATATTCAAAGGATGGATTGAGCTCCCATAGGGGCTTTATCCAGTTTTAATTGTTTTTGTATCAAAATTTGAAATTCTTCTATTTCTAAAGGGATAAAAGAACCTTTCCCTTTAGTGAGGAAAACACATTTATTTTTCATTTGGTTCCTTGGATTTAGTAAACTGTAGCTGGCTATTTAAATATACTATGGCTCGGCTCAGCGCCTGTGGCTCAAGTGGCTAAGGCACCAGCCACATATACCTAAGGTGGCAGGTTTGAATCCAGCCCAGGCCCGCCAAACAACAATGACGGCTGCAACCAAAAAATAGCTGGGCGTTGTGGCAGGCGCCTGTGGCCCCAGCTACTTGGGAGGCTGAGGCAGGAGACTCGCTTGAGCCTAGGAGTTGGAGGTTGCTGTGAGCTTTGATGCCACGGCACTCTACCCAGGGGTACAGCTTGAGGCTCTGTCAAAAAAAAAAAAAAATACTGTGGCTCAATATGTTATACTGGAGGACTTATGAAACTGGCAGAACTTTAAGTTCATAAGCATTCTGTTTCAGAGTCGTGGTTTTTCCAAAGTACTCACCAGCCTCCTTGATGCTTTAATAAAGGTTAGATTTGATAGGATTCTTTTTGTTATTTTTTTTTTATTCCACTAGACTATAAAGAAAAGAATTGCTTAGAAACTCCATTTTTAATAACTTAGTTTCAGTAAATTCTTAAATATACACAGAATTTTAAAGGAAATAAAACGTTCAATCTAATTTAGGCTGAAACTATACATCACTAAGGAATTAAAGAATGGGATGATCACTTATGAAAAAAGAGAAAAGCCCTCCATGAAATATTCCAAAATCCATGTTTTAAGCTTATTCAAAGTCCTAAATTCAGCCATTTCTGTATGTTTATGTTGATCATTTGTGAACAAGAAAGCAGATTTCTAGATAGCACCTAGCATGTAACTGCCTTTCAATGCTAAATTCTGTTGGCTTTACTTTTTTTTTTAAGTCTTCAGGGAACAAAATTATGTATTTCAACTAGAGTTGTACTTTTAATCATTTCTAATATTTCAAAAGAGTTTTCACTTTACTCCATTTATTTTCAGTGATGGAAATCCTTCCTTTCTTCATACTGGGCTCCAAAATAAACCAAAGATAATCACATGCTAGGACAATAGTAAAGGCAGCTTATAAATGGGACATAAATCAAAAAATTGTTGCTAATTTTGAAACTAAGAATGTCCTTTTCAAAAATAAAAACATAACCAGGTTGCCAAAGCAGTCTGGTGTAAGCAACAGTGTACCTAAACATTAGTGTTAATATTATTTGTTTACTTCTAAGGCCACTGAGTAGGGAGCAGAAGGAGAACTGGAGGAAAGGGACAAAATAAAGGGGATGGCACCTTCCTGACTTGGCTAGGGGGCCACGAGTTTGCAGGAATTAGTCTCTCACTGACTGCTTTTGATTGATCTCCCCATGCCCAGGGTCTGCCTGTTCCACAGCACTTGTTCCCCTTCCCCTCCTAATCAGAAGTCAGCTCCTCTAGGTGTCTGATCTCTGGTGCTCACATGATTACAATCATGGGGTGGAGAGTGTCTGCTAAATTAGGCAGTTAATCCTATGGTGCTTTAATTTTCAGGCATTTTTAAAAACTTGGACAATGATGTACAGATTTTTTTTAAATATTCAAACTTTCCTATACTAGAATTTGTGTATTGACAGCCAGATGTATCCTTTATTCTCTTTCAGATTGTGAATAAAGTGATTTTACAGGGCTGCCAGCTAACAGAATATTTTGTAGAGCCCTAGCTCATATACCTGCTTACTTGAGAAATGCAAATCTGTATTCACCATGACTTTAATAACAAAGATGAAGTTTTTCTAGTAGTTCAGCGGCAAGAGAAACAATCCTGGTGGTATTAATAACTTTTACAAAAGTTATGGTTTTCTGATGATCCTCTTGGGCTTCTCTCTGATCAGTTAGATTACACTAGAAGTAGAGCTTCTCTAACATGATGTCATTACCTCATAATCATTAACAAATTGGGCCCAAAGAGCCCCAAAAATATGAGTCCTAGATATTCATTTCTAAGCAGCCCTGGTCATGGTGCTACTGCTTCCTTGTCACAGGAGACTATCTCCTGTCTGTATGAAACTTTGGCCTGAAAAATGCTGGTATGGACACCAAACATTGAGCACCTTCAGTAAGCAAATTATCCGCTCACAAATTCAGTTCAGAAAGTGGATTTTTTTTCTACTATTATAGAATTCTGGCAAAGAGGGAAAATAGTAGTCCTTTGGTCATCCTATTTTGCATTTAGTTTTGATATCTTGTACTGTAAAAGGCTTTGGGGGATGATACTGCATGTGATAGCAGTAATTTTATTAATGCAACTGCTTTGAAACTCACTCCAGTTGTCTCTCATCATCAGATTCTATTCCAAACAAGTATTCTGTAAGCCTAGAGCAATTACCAGTTTGCTATAGACCTATTATAGAACAGCATTCTTTGGTCTATATTAAAAATAGTTTTGCATAAGTTAGTCTTGGTTATCATCTAAAATATTTTTAAATGTTCTTTACATAAAAACTTTATGTTGTATTTTTAAACCTTTTAGGGGCTTTATCTATTTTTCTAAGTCAGTTAACTATACTTTTAAAAAAAGTATTTTTTATCTACTTTTGTAACTTCATCAGAATAAAATATATTGAAAGCAAAATATGACTGATTGATGTTTGTGTCTCAACATACTTATTTCTATTTAAACTTGATGTTTTTGCAGGTTCTATGGATTTTTTAGTACAGTTTAAATTTGGAAAGCTATCTTTACATATCATTTAGTAGCTAAAATGTCTTCTTAACCCTTACAAAAAGAGAAGTTCTTAAATGAGCTACATATCTGGTACTCCCAGAACTCACCTAAGAAACAAATGGTGCCTCCGATGATAGTGGCTAAAACCTTTCCCAGACGGAAGTAAGTTGTCTTCTTTCTACTATGCCAACCAAGTTCTGGACCTCTTTATGCTCCTGGTTGTGAGTTTGGGAAGAGGGACTGGACTCACTAATTTTCTGACCTTAAAATTGAGTACTCAGCACATATCCTTAAAACATACCCCCACCGCCCCAAATAGCCTTTTTTTGTTATTAGAGAAGAAATATTTGTAGAGTTAGTTTTGAAGATCCATATCATAGATGCATTTTAGTTCTGTGTAAAATAGTAGTGCTAGAATTGTTCTGGCATTTTTCAAGTAAAGTTAAATTTTTAAACTTAATGAACGTGGCTAAATAGAACAGGTTAACACTTTGTACAAGATTCATGGGTAAGCTAGCAATCAGTTTTGGATTTCTTTAGACATTTTCAGTAGGCTTAAAATTGTTAGCAAAAACGGTAAGTTTGTATCTAATGGCTAAGCCTTTGAAAGCTATTTCAAACTTAATAAAAGAGTAGTAGAATAGCCCAAATAATTTTTGAGAGGACCAGAGTCAGGCTTCTAATCTACTCAGGCAGAAACAATGTCCAAACCATGCCTTGGACGTCTCTAGCAAATAACCACATCAATGTTATCCCCACTAGGTATGGACACTACAGCCTGCACAGTTATCACTGGCCACTAGATGTCAGTCTCTGCCCGGTAACCTGATTAAAGCTAGTTTTTTCAGGTAAATCCTTAGGTTATCTCATTTAATCTATACGCAGGGAAGTGGTGTGTTATTTAGACCCTGTCACAAAAGCTTAGACGAGTTCAAAGAATACATAGTAAGCCCTCTGTTTTCTCTGGATTGCATTTTTAGAAATTCTGTATGTTCAAGTTTACTAGGAGGCACTGAAAAATAAAATGACTGCAATTAAAAATCATCCCAATGAGGTTTAAAAAAAAAAGATGCATACAAAGAAATCCTACCTAAGGAGTTATCTTCAGTGAGCATATATGTAAATATTGTATACATGAAAGGTAGGAGTGATCATAGACTGATAGAAGTGAAGGTAAGAGGATCTCAAGTTCATAGCAAAAAGTGCAGAAAAGGGCTCGGCGCCTGTGGCTCAAGCAGCTAAGGCGCCAGCCACATACACCTAAGGTGGCGGG